TAGATAATGGCTGTAGTTAGAAAGCATTTGCAGAAATCCAGTACACCAACTACATTGATTCCTGGATTGTTAAAGAAAGGCAGAGTACAGTTGGAGGAGAAATGCAAGGGCTGTTAACAGATAAAAGGTCTGTAAAAGAAATATAATCCTAGGAGAGTAAGTGTAAGAAAGAAACTTTAAATAATCCTGCCTTGATACTGATTGGTAGAAAACAGAGAAATTCTGGCAGAACATCAAATATATTACTATAAAGTTCCAGAAATCTTTGCAGTGTTTGTTTTCCTGACCTGGTATACTATGAAGGGTTGATATTGGTCCCAATATTCTGCCAGAGCCTCTTTTTATCTACTCTTATACCTCATGCAACATTAAGATGATTTTTTTTCTTGCTTACTACTCTCCTGAACTTGAAATTTAATTTACAGCATCTTTTATCTATTATGTTCATTCATGATTCTCTTTGCCTCCCTGTGCAAACCAGGAAAGCCTTGTTCACAATCATGCCTTGGTTGCTCCTTGTTTGGACTCCTAACTATATACAAAGGATTGTCCTTGAATACTATGTAGTAGCTATAACTGGTTCAGAATCATGTGACACCACTAATTTGTCAGCTGTTCTGACTCCTAGCAGGCTTCTGGGTATAATTCAAGCTGTTTGTTACCACCTGTAAGTTTTTTCATAACACAGAGATAAGTTATTTGTGGGTCTGTTTATTTCTGTTTATTTTGAATCTGACAGAGTAGGCATGTTCCAGGTTCCATCAATGAAACAGTTTTTTGCTGCAGCCTCTGTCCTACCCATGTTCAGATTGTCTTGACCCTTTTAGAAAGCCATAAAATCCTGGCTGTCCTTCCAGGCGTTGGGCCAACGTATTAGATGAGCCCATATTATAATGGTTTAGGGAAATTATAGTGATTTACCTTTCATTTTTGTTATTTTTGCTGGCTATTTTAACTCAGTAATATGTAAAGCACACATTTTCTTGTACTACAATTTTGGTTCAGTAAATGGCGTAGTTTTAAAATAACATGGAAGCACCTCCATGTGTTTGTTGAGTTTCTCTATGACTAAATGATACTTGAATCTAGTAGATGTTTCGGTCAGAATAGGAAAATCCTCTGGAGCAAATTGAGGAGCAGAGAAGCTGCCAACAAAAAAGAAATTGTTTCCCTTTTGACTAATAAAAACCTTTATTAGATGTAATATCATTTTTCCGAGAAATAACTGGATGTCATTCACAGAAAGGAAATGTCAGTGCAGTACTTACTGGGTATTATTGCTTATTCTAGTACCAAAATAAAAGCTATCGTGAACCATCAAATTGGAATGGGCCATTTAGGCCATTTAGCCCAAGTCGTGCCTAAGTCAACAATCCAAATTAAAAACTTTCTCACAGATGGTCTGTCTTCTGAACACATCCAGCAAATAGGTCCACCGTGCTCTCTAGCAGGCACTGTGTTTAAAAAAATTTCTAGTGTTATTTTAATAAATATTTAAAAATACAATCAGTAAGAAATATGAAAAGTAATGTTGAAAGGTTTAAATTGGCTTAATAGATTTTTCTAACATATAAGTGGTATCTACCTTTCTGTTATATAAGACAATTATTCTTATGAGTCCATTTGAGTTGAGCAATTATAACAAATCTGAAATTAATAAATCATTTGGTCTTGCACTCTAGGATGAGGGGACCAGATCTTTCTCTGTATTGTACTGTTCAAATAGTTGAAAAGGGCTTTTTTGTTCTCCTCAGTTGTTTGTTCTCTAATTTCTCCTTCAAAATCTTAATTTTTAGTCCACTGATCATCTTTATTGCCCTCCTCTGAGTTAATTCCAATTTGTTTGAATCCTTTCTAAAATGTAGCCCTGATCTAGACATAATATTTAAAGGGTGGTTTGACTCAAGCCAATAGAGTGGCACTATTACCAGAATTATACTTTTATTGACAGTAAATAAAACTGTATTTTTCTTTTTCAGCAACCATGTTATAGTGGTTATACATATTCAAGTTCTAAAGTGTTGCTGCCAAGCTAGATTTCCCTAATTTTATAACTGTGCATCTGATTTAATGTTCCTAAGTAAATAACTTTGTTCAAACTTTATCAGCATCCTTTTAAACAAATATAAACAAATGATTGGGCCTTAGAATTTACTAAGATACAAACATTTTAGATCATTATTTCAAATCAGAGACTTTGGACAGTGAACATTTTCTTTTGTTTTTGTATAAATACCTGTATAATCCACAGGATAAACTTTGACAGAGAAGTCTGAAGCTAGACCAAAACTCTGTGGGTGGCCATAAAGAAATAAATAAACAATATAGTTATCATTGACTGAAAAAAATATTTAAAGTTTTTTCAATGGGGGGGAGGAGCATTGTGCATTGAACATTATTGTATACAAAAAAGTTAGATTCAAGTATGGTATCTTGAGGTTTATTTCCAGCTTGCTTGGCTTTGTAGTCTTTGTAGACAGGATTTTCTGAAAACATTACACTAGAATCTGTTCTTGTCCAGAAATAAAAACAATTGTGAAACCAAAAATACCTATTCTATGTTCTTGACTTATGTTTATTTTAATAGTACTTATGGTAATTTGGTCACCTTAAATTGTTCTAATACATTCAAACTCTTCCATTTTTAAATATTAGAAATCTAAAACTTCATTAATACTGAATTTTATTTCACAAAGACACCAAAGGTTAAGTTATGATAGATGTCACAATGGAAGGAAGCAGGAAATTATCTTCCTTTTAATGCTGGGATTCATGCATGGTTTTAATAGTTGGCAAACTCATATTTTAACCATTTTCCAAACAAAATAGGAGAAAGTACACTCAAAGGTGACACCTCTTCTGAGTGTACAAGACATCAGGCCTGCATATGCAAAGCTGTGTCTCTGGCCAGTTGTTTTGGCTGTCATGCAGTAGCTATTCTTTAGGACAGGACAGGGCCTGGGCTTCCCAGATCTCTTGGGTTTGCTTCTGCCCACTCTATTTACCCATCCTGTTTGATGCTATCTTCTTTTTTCCCTTATCTGCCTTCTTATTCTCTCCTCTGGCACAGCAGCAGATAAAGGTCCTAGACTACAATGTTCCATGACATCCATGGTCTTGTGGACACAAAAACTTATACTGAACCCAAGCTCAGTATAGTGATTCTGCTGTAATCACTATTATATATATTCTCCACAATCACAGCAATAATTTCAGCAAGAAACAGAACATATTACAATAACTATTTTGTAATACAATTCATACATTCTACTGTCATCAGCCCTGCTGGGCAGTTAATGGGCACAGTACAAAACATCTGGATGGCATCATAATATGGTTTAGAGGTGCACTGCTAATCAACTAATTTACATAAATTGGCATATAGTTAATATCAACAGTTCTGAAAAGAACTGAAGAGGAGGCTATTAAAAATGAAAACTCTGATTTAAATTAAATTCATAGACTTGTAGCATTGTTAGATATACTTGGTGTGATGCCCTGATGGGATCAGTTTAACATTCCTTTTCCTTGTCAAACTCAATACTTTAAAAAACAGTTCAAAGCCCAGAAATACTGTAATTAGATCTGACTTGACTCTCTGATACTGAAACAACGTAAAATATGTCAGATTCATAAAAAATGCATTTCTGCTTTTAGTACAAATATTTTAACATCCATGCACATTTAGACTGAACATACACATTTGGGATTCATTTTATCGCTCAAAGAACTAGATATATGCATAAATCTCTACATAGTTTTAAACACAAATTTACCTAAAAAGTAATCCTGTGTATCAAAAGAACTAGTTTTTCAGTGTATTCAGTGTATCGATTTAAAAGAAGTTTATACAGACTGCTTTTTTTCTTAGTACGAACACTTTCTTCTGCACTACATATAAAATAAAAAAAAACATTATTAATAAGAAAAGCATTGCTGATTTTGATTTAGGAAATAAAAGAGGTAGAAAATCAGTTCAAGCCAATCCACACAAAGAACAACAGAGATGCCAAGGCACTTTAAATAATGCTGTCATCATCCTCAGCAAGATTAAATGAGGATTCTGTTGACTAAATGTGGCAAGAAAGCTTTGCTAAACCCAATTCCACTATAGGATAGGTTTTTAAAACTAACAAAGGGCTCTTTCCTAGGCCTTTTCCACAAATGACAATAAAATCTCCTCCCCCCCTTTTTTTCTTTGCATCCCTAATTGAATACAAAACCTCAACTGGCTCAAATATGCACTCACATTAAAAACAGTTTTCTCAGGATTTCCATGCTAATACATCATATGATGCGTTCTAGCCCAACTTTCCCTAGCATCACTTCTGAAAATACATTACAAATAGGCAAAGAAAAAAAAAAAAAGCGAATTCACAGACCAACCACTCACCATTTTCACGCGGCTCCCTCCCCCCCCCCCCGTGACTACCTGTGCCCCGAGTGCAGTAGCTAACAAACTGGGTTAATCATCCAATTAGTAGTTCAAAACCTGACTTCGGGCTTCAGCGTGACTGACTTGCACAGTTCAGGAAAAGATGCGGAATAAATGACATTCGTCGGGAGAAAGGCCCGTTTGGGAACTCACCAGCCATCCCTCCAACCCTTCTTCAAAAAGGACCGCAGGGGTCCCAAACGCCCCGGCATTAACCGATCCGCCGCAGGAAGGACGGGGCAGCGTCTGGAATAGACACCCAGCCGACACGCCCAGGAACAAACGGACGGGCCGCCTTGGCGGGGGGGGGGCGGCAATGCAAATCCCTCGGGAGACCCCCTCCCCTTCCCCCCCGTCTTTCCTCTTCAGCCCCTTCCCGGGAGAAGAGAGGCTCCTCCCGCCTTCTGGGAGGGGATTTCGGCATCAAAAGTCCTCCCGCCTTCTAATCTTCCCCCCCCCCGTCGCCCCTGCCCCCCCCTCTCCCAGGGGCCTCGCGTCTCCCTCTGTTCGCGGCAGCCTGGAGCAGCGAAGAGTCTGCATCTCTTCTCGCAGTCCCCGCCCTTACCCTCCTGCTCTTCCATGGCGCTCCCTGCCAGACTCCGGCTCCCGGCCGCTGCTGTAGCAACTCGGCCACCTCCCAGCCGCTAACATCCCCGGCGTCTATTGGTTTTCCCAGCACAAGGAGGGGTGGAAGGCGGCGCGGCGCGGCACGCAGTGCGGATGGGCCGGCCTAGGCTGCGGCTCCGGCTCCGTTGCAACAGCCAGGGCTTCTTTCTTCTCCGCGGTCGCCGCCCTGGCGTAGAAAAGGGCGGGCTTTTCGGTGTCCAATTTCTTTGCCTGGACATTGTTCTACTCCCAGTACCTTTAATTGGCCGTATCTCCCAGGGAACTTTTTTTAGAGTATTTTTTCTTTTGCATCGCGCCCAGCAGAAATACCAGACGTTTTATTTTTTTTTGCTTTTCCGCAAGGAGGGGAGGATTCGCATCGTAGTTAGACGCCATGGCGTGGTTGGAGTCCTGGTGACTGCAGGAGTGTCTTTTGGATCTAGTAATAATGTACGGGACGTGAATTGGCTTACAGATCAGATGAAGTTAAAGCTGGTCACATTAGAGCAGGGGTAGTCAACCTTGGCATCTTTTAAGACTTGGGAACTTCAACTCCCAGAATTCCCCAGACAACATGGCTGACAGGGGAATTCTGGGAGTTGAAGTCCACAAGACTTCAAAGTTGGACACCTGTATTAGAGGCTCAGTAAAAACAACCAAGAAGCAAAAATAAACATTTTCACTGAAGGAAAGAACATTACAAAAATATATAGTTTACACCATCACTCAGCAGTGGTCATAGAATCATTTGGGTCTATGGCCTGCTTGAAAAGGGAAATGTTCAATGCCTTTCTAAAGCAGAGGAGGGATGGAGATGAATGGGCCTGTGGAATGCTATTTTGGAGGGCAGTAGTAATAGGCACATTTCTGCAGGGGAACTGAAATGTGTCCATCTTGGCAAGAGTTGATGGGACAGGCAGAAACAACTGGAGACAGGCAGAACTTTGTACCGCTTTATTGAGTGACCATATTTTCTTGAATAAAAATAAAGAGCAAGTTGTCTAAATTTAATTTTTGACCCAAATGTAAGCTGTAACAAACCTGGTGGGTGATCTCACAGGGAAACAGTGTGAAATGGGTATGCTTAGCCTCTTTTTCCTTATTCTCTACATCACTTATCCACTAGCCTGTCTACCAGTCTTCTGAAATCATTCCTTTCCTATTCTTTGTTTATCTCTTGGGTTTTCAAACCTCTACCCTCTGTCAGTAAATAGCATTTTAATGGTTGTATATATTTTGAACTGCCAACATTTTTTTTTTTTAAAAGAGCTTAAAGAGAACAGGTCTGTTGATTTGGATGTGAGAGCTTTGCTTTTCTCCTTGAAGAGAGAAAAATGAAATACAGTGGATAGATATAACAGAATGATATACTGTAGATGAATTGGTTCTATTACTTGAAGTTGAATTTCTTCATAATGCAAATTCAAGGTTAAACCATTATACCAGTGATACAGACATTTGTAATTTATGGGATTAGCAAAAAAAAAATAGTGCTGTATGTAATGGCAGCATTACCATTTTTGATATTAAAGAGTTACTAGTTGATAGTTGAGATTTAAAAATCATTGGAAACTTACTTGGCAGCATCTAAAAATGGAAACCAAAAACAGTAACTGCATCAGCATTTTGTTGCATTATTATTGTTTGTTTTTTCTCCTTCATTTTAAAGGAGTATCAGAACTGATGAGTTTTTCTCACAATTCAGTTCTTGTACTTATTCTTAAAGCTGATAGTGAGGGACAGTATTTGTGAGGGTTTGGTCTGTTGTTGTATAGTCATCTCTTTTCCCATCTTTTGGTTAAATCCCAGGAAATACATAATGAAAAATCTCTGCTTTGAGATTTTGTTTCAAAGGAAGCATCCTCTGTCACTTTGCCCGGTATAGTAATCTTGTAAATATCACCAAAAGACATTTGCAAGAAATTTTAATACACTGTATGTAAATGACATTCAAAAACAGGATTATCTTTTGCAGGGAAAAGAAACATTTTGAAAATTAAAAAAATACACAATGCAAATATCATTTTAAGTATGGAATTCTAATACAATAAAATGTGAAATAAAATAAAATGAATATATACAAATGTGTCATTTAAATTTTTTTACTGCTTCTTGCACATTTTAAGTTCACCTTTCAAAAGAATACATATGAAGGATATTTTAATGTTTACAGCTCAGCATGGGTACACAATACTTACTGTAATAAAAGAACAGATGAATTATTGTCAACAATGGTCAGAATGAATATTAGGTAAAGGAGTATCTGTTAAGGAGACAGTTGAAAGTGTAGTATATCCTGAAACTACCTTCTGAATGAGAAGATCAAAATATGCATGATGGCATCTGTAGTGTCACAATCCAAGCCCTGTGTCATTTGTACATGCCATTTGATTTTGATCATCATCTGCAAATAAAGTTATATTATTGATGTCAACAATTTATTAGTATAGAAGTGCAGTTTTTGGGATCATGTTGAAAAGGTGCTTAAAGCCTCATGAAAGCTGTACATTTTAATGGCTTCATTCGGCAGTGTTTGAATTAAGGAGATACCAAAAGTACAAATATTTTGGTTAAAAAAAAGTTGGGGGTAAGAGGCTTTAGAACCCATATTCCTAATTATTATCAATAATTATGATTTTCCTCCCTTCACCTCCCTGCCTTTCTTTACTGATGTTCTACTCTGTGTATACGTATAAGTCATTACATCTCATCCCATGTGCCAACTTGTAAGATCATGGCAATGAACTGAAGTAATGAGGCGTGATGCTCTTTATAATTCAAAAGGTGAATTACAGAATATAGAAGAAAATCTAGACCTAGGTGAGACACCAACATTCATCAACACCCAACCATAACTATTCTCTAAAGAATTCCCCATTCTCACACAATTTTTTAAGAATGCGGAGACTGCAAGAGAATGGAGTGTGCTCTCACGCACTTTTTGGATCCTCTAGAAGTTGTGTGGGAGGGCTGTGCTCTCATGTGGTCTGCAGAGCCTCCAAAGATCACAAGCAAACGGCGTGCTTTCATGTGATTTTTGGAGGATGCAGAGGCCAAAGAACAAGTTGCTTCATGAATGAAGGCCTTGTGTGATGTGGAGCTGCCTTGGGTAGGCTGCAGGGGCCGACCAACAGTAAGAGAACACCACCTGAAGATAAGGGGTGCAAATCAGATCCTGGGGATCATATACATGAGTGGACTATATTTTTAAAAATAAATGAATATGCAAAGATTGTTTTTCTTTTGTTCAGGGGTGATGGAGGCAGGAGGTGACATATGAGCAGAGCCAAGTGAGGCATTTTCTGAATTTTTGACATGCTGAGCCCAAAAAGTTCACCATCACTGGTTCAATGTGTTATGCCACGCCAGAAAATGTTTAAGCAAACTATTTTTGTTTAATCATGAACAAATATGTTATGTGCTATGAACATAGCCACAATGACAGTCAAAAGTTCAGTGCGTCATCAGATTTGCAGATCTGCAAGATTATGAACAAATAAGCAAATTCTTCTCATTAAATCATAAAAACAAAAAAAATGTCAATAAGGTGTCTTTCTAGAATAATTTGTTTTTAAAAATAATTTATAATGGTGAAAACATAGTGTTAGACCTCCCCCTGCTGGCTCTGAAAAATAATTCTGCACATTTTTTCAGAAGTACAGAAAGTTGGAATTATGATATTGCTGTTGTAGCATCACTGGGATCATGCGATCACAATTTGGTTGCTTGCCAGCCAGCTCAGAGTTATGATGGTAAGAATATCCCCCAATCATGATTGCCATTTGCAACTTTACTGGTAGCTTCCAACAAGCAAAGTAATGGACTGCCTGCAGGAGGTTGCAAATGGTGATCACACGATGTGGTACCTAATGACTACATGGGGTTCATTTAACAACAGCAACTGGAACTGCCACAAGTGTCGTAAGTTGGTGCGGTTATGTGACATTACCACTATGCTGATTAGTGGGGGTTACCTGTCACAATTACTGGCATTAAGCGAGGACTACCTGTTTGTTTTGTAGGTTGTTTCACTAAATGCACAAAGTATTGCACAAAATGCTGTAATCTACTGCAGCAGTCTCCAACATTTCTGGCTTTGTGGACTGGCGGGTGGGGAGAAGAGGGGATAATTCCCCATGAGCAGGTGAGCACGTGCAGCTTCATTTGTGCAAATGGCAAGCCCAGCTGCCTGCTGCTCACACTAATGGACCTGCATATGCGTGCTTGCTTGTCCACTGTACGCGCAAGTGGAGTTGCTTCTGTGGCCAGTTCTGAACAGGCTGCAGTCCAGTGGTTGGGGACCTCTGATCTATTGCACAATTATTTACAATTTCATTACAAACCTGGCAATGTGTATGTTTCTTAAAGTGGCCAAGTTTGAGGACCCCTGATTTAAGGCAACTTGAAACGCGATATGTTTTTACATGTTTGTCCAAAACTCCCATCCTGTTTTGGTGTCACTGATGTCCCTTGGTAGCAAAGGAAATATTGATAGAAACATACACATTGCCAGGTTTGGAATTTGCGATCAATTTGTAATTGTTAGGATGTAGTGGTATCAGACGTATCCTTTCTGTAATCACTATATGGTTTATATGAAATTGCCTTGTATTCATGAGATATTTAGACCAAGATGGATTTCTGTACATTTCTGTAGCTTTGCTAACAATGTCTTAAGATCATGTCCAAATTGTGGTACTGACTAGCATTTCTGCTCAACAAATTGTTGGCACTGTGGGTATTCCAAAAAGGACAGCATCCCCGAATTTCATCTTTTTTCTTACAATTGCAAATTCATTCACTAAAATCTCTCTGTGGATGGCAAGATTTATATAGCATACTTAACACATTGGCAAACCTTGTAATTTCATGTCCCTCTAAAATGGTAAATAAATTTATGAACCCCTTCCCTTCATAAATAAATCTAACAAGCTCTTCCTTGGTAGCAGTGAATGTGCCATCTGTTTAACATTAAATGGGTTCTTCACTATCAATTAATATCCCATTTATGTATGCAGAGTTAGAATTCTTTCAGGACTTGTCCTGTTGTTGCCTTCTCAGAACATAGTATAAATTTGCATGTGCAAAACAAGAATTCTTACAGGGCTTTGACTCTGCAAGCAGAGATACTTTTTGCTCTGGACAGCAAAACATCCATTCACTATTAATTTGATGTGTTTGCTGTTGACTGGTCGACGGCTGCCACGTAAGAGAGATCCATCCTTGCAACTCCTGTATGCCAAACAAGTAGGGCAATGTAACTGCTGGTGTCTTCTGGACTTCAGCTTTATGCATGCAAAGATGAGTCATACAAGAACTTGGTTCTGTTCTTGCTAGACAGCTTGTCTAGGCAAAGCAGATCTGAGTTCTCTCAGAATTCTGCTTTGCATACATGATACCCCCAGTTACAACTATCTTCAGATTTAAACTTATACTTTGAGAAATTTTGCTCCAGTGCATGGAGATTGAAATTCCTCAAAATCATCTGCCTGGAAACCTTAACACTAGTTCTGAGATAAAATCAAGAAGAGAGAGAGGCTATCAGGTAGCAAAGTAAACTATATATGAGAAGCACCTTTCCTCAAAAGTGTCAGCTTTAATTACAGGACCTGCATCTAGCTGTCTGCACAGCAATAGCAATAGCACTTAGACTTATATAATGCTTCATGTTTTACAGCACTCTGAGCACCTTACAGTGTCAGCATATTGCCCCCAACAATCTGAGTACTCATTTTACTGACCTTGGAAGGATGGAAGGCTGAATCAACCTCGAGCCTGTTCAGGATTGAACTCCAGACTGTGGGCAAAGTTAGCCTGCAGTACTGCATTCTAACCACTGCATCACTAGGACTCTCTGATCACTACCAAGATTTCCTACATTATAGATGTATATAAAACCATACATGGAATGAATATTGAAGTTTTTCTTCCTTTTTCTTCATAATGCTAGTACTTGAGATCATGTACTAAACTAGATACAGGAGACCAGCAGGAGAAAAAATCTTTTCACATAGCTCATAGTTAAATTTTATATATTGCTAGCAACTTGCATGATTTTAAAGATACCTGGAAAAGTTCATGAAGAATATTATTTACCGGAAGATGACAGGAAGGGGCTATTTCTTCCTAGTCTTGAAAATGCACATAGTTGGCCACTTAATAATACAGACTGCTGGGACAGATGGATGTAGAGGTGCAGTTCATACACTTTTATGAGAGAAAAGGATGCTGATGACTTCTGGTGGGAGGCAGATCAAAACCCACAACCATTCAAGGAAAACCTGAAAGAAAATTCTATTTTCTAAGCAATAAGGAGGAAATAAAACAAAGTTAATTACAATTAACAAAACTAGAGTTTCTGCATTTTAAATTTAGGCAGTAGTGAGAATTTGTTTTTTAAATACTGCATTTTATTTATTTACCTATTAGATTTTTATTCCATCTTTACTGTTTTTATAAATAACTTTTTATAACTTTTAAAATGCTTGATTCTTTCCTTTTTTCCATATGTTATTTGACAGCTCTCGTTCCATTTTTTTACTTTATTATTCTCTCGGATACCATGGTGTATCTTGTTAGGGAAAAAGTGCTATTCAAGATAGAATTGAGACTGTAAGGTCTGTCGAGGAGATAAACATGCTGTGTAATTAGAAAGACTATCATGCTTAACTTGTTCCCTAGAGGAAGTGGAGGATACCTGTTGCCAAGCTAGTTGAGAATTCTGGGAACCGAACTACAAAGAACATCCTATTGAGACGACTGCTTTAACAGGTGTCATAGATATGCTAGGGGTGGCTTAGTGAGCACACTGCTTAAGTATACAAGTGACAGGCATGCACCATTTCCCAAAAGTGACCCATTCCTGCATGACATATCTCCAATGAGTCTAGAAGAGACAAAACTGATGAATCAGATTTGGCTATACATATTCTTGAATTCCTGAAGAGTGTTAGATGGGTTAGACATACAGTGCTTGCTGTAGAAGACAGGCACACTGTCAAGAGCTAAACATTAAATGATGAAGGTCATCAGAATAGAAACCTCAAGATAACTTTTGATTGAAAGCAGAAGGTTCTTCAGTCAAAATATGCATATAACTAATGAGCGTCTATACAAGCAAAGGGATGGAGAAGAATACTATGCTAATGAGCCATAAATATTCTGCTGCTTGTTATTTATTAACATTAATTACCAAATTCAATGCCAATTAAAGTATTTACAGACCTCACACCAACAATGTCCATGTGACAACTGTAAAATAGTAATATTGTGAAAACAACAACCTTGGTCACAACAGTAATGTATGTTTTGTTAACCAATGTTTAGATTTACTAAAAAGCAAAGTTATACTAATATTTTAATAAAATTATAAGTATCTGAAAAGTGCATGGTATTTGAAACAAAGTTGAAATATGTCCACTTTTTAAATAAAGAAACAAACATTAGGACTTGGGACAAATTGTGATTGATATCCATTTGATTGCCACAACAAAATAACTTTTTACTTTAATATTGATTGAAAAGTGAGAAGACTCCAATTCTAAAAGCTATAATAAATTCTTCTTCATTTTAGGAAGTAGGTCTTTACTAAAGTGTTGGAGATTTTACCTCTCACCAGCTATGAGCTCATTTCTCTTATTTCTCACCTGCTATGAGCTCATATCTTTTAATATATACTGTGCTTACTCTTATACTTTAGCAATTACATAGTTGCCTGAACAACAAAAATACTCCTTAAAGAATTAAATATTCTTGGATTTCCAACTACCCACAAGCAAAGAACTGTACTGAGAAAACACAAGACACACCTGACTATACATTACTTATGTTAAAGGTTTCTCTTGTAAATGAAAGAATGCTGATTCCTAACTAAATGAGCAATTTCATCAGTTTAGCAATTGATTTGATGATCATGTGCACACAACACATGGTGCAGAAAACAAAAACAAAACCCTAGCCCTTTCAAAACAAGTTGTAGAAAAATTCATTGTCACAGTTGCTTTCATAAGCATTTCAAAGGGCAGTGTGGAGCATCTAAATTGTACAATATAAAACATTGTAAGTAATGTGGCTGAAAACAGAGAAGCAGAGTTCTTTAAAAACAAACAGTGCTTCCTTTACAAGTGATTTTTTTAATAGGTGAATACTCTAGCCAGACAATTTCAGAAGATCACTGAAGCCATTGTGATACAATCCAATTCAAGCTTCTGTTCACTTGAATGCTATTTGCTACAAGATCTACATCATTTTTATTTTGTATTTCAATGTGGACATTTGTTTATGAGATCCATCTGTCAACAAAGTCTCCTGATCAGTAACCAGGTCTCAACCATTACTAACAAAGGTAGAAAATGTTCTGTCTACTGTTACCACCTGCATTCCCTCTTTTTGTACTGCATTGTGCAGGTTCTGGTAACAAGATTCGTCCATTTTAAATTTATTTTTTGTTCAAGTGGCTTGCTCACAAGATGCAACCTTTTTTTCAACAGGCTTTTGCAGTTGGAAAATATTTGTACAGTTTTAACTGTCAGTCAACCTAAAACGTCAGCTTTCTTCTTTTGCTGCTTCCCCCTGGGCTTCCCCAGTTTGTTCGGTGGGGTTTCTCTGTGCATCTTCTTCCCCTTCTGCAAGAAACAAAGATAATTTTTAGTAACAATAGTATGAACAATGCAACTAAAATTTGCATATTCCACTGTGTTCATATCTGGAAGATATAGAGGTCTGGGCTGCTTTTGAACAACACTAACTGGTTACCTAAATTTTATATAATGAACCTAAATTATATAAAATGAGGAGAATAAGATTCAAACTATAGAAGCAGGCTGCCACTTAAGTAATGCAAAAATGCTGCAGAAGACATTAAATGGGGCTTCATTATGTTAGAAATGATTGGATAGCATTCTATAGCCAGAGAACAAGCCATTCCCAATGTTCTATCTAAGGAAACTGATTTTAGTATTTCAGAGGAGCAAATTTAATGACAGACATAAAACGTGTGGTATAGCATGTATGTATTGTTTTTTACATTCTCCCACACTTCATAATTATGGCATGTACCTCAGCATATTAGTTAGTTTAATGGCTGACTTTGAGACATACGAAGGGATAGACTATCATCTGTACCACTATTCTTGCCTTTCTTAAAATAGCTAAACGTGTGTGTGTGTACACACACACACACACACACACACATATAGTTCAGAAGCATTTTATAAGATGTATCCACAAGGAGTTAGTAGAACTCTATGTAGGGAGAATTTAACTATCACAACTATTAAATCAAATTGTCTCCTGAATTAACCTTGGCTTATGATCATTGCCTTTTGACCCTATGTAGGTTATAAGTAAATTGGCCTATGATATCCACCATGGTCATGAACCCTAGCTACTCTGTATGAGATACTTACTTCCCTGTTCTGGAAATATGGGCTAAGCTATTCTTATAACAGCTGAGAAAAATTGCATCAATTCGTCTCCTGGAAGTGATTTTTTAAAAAAATTCAGTAGTAATCATATTTATTCTAATATTGGCCTGAATAGCTTACGACTCATCATATCAGCTAAAACTCACCACTAATATAATAGGCTTAACAAACCCTTCTAAGTAGTTCATCCTTCCTGTCCCTCTACAACTATAGAAACAAAGGGGCTACTGATCCTAACGGATCATAGGTACACCAAAGGTGCTATCATTTCTAAGCTATGAAGTGTTTATATGTCTGTCTATGTGCGTATTCAAATTATACTTGATCAGTATATACGGTGTGTGTTTGCGCATATTTGTGTAAGTATAAATTTAATAGTGCATAGATACCAAAACCTAAAACAGTTTTCTAGAATGATGCCTCTTGCATAATTTTCTTTGGATCCTTACCAGTTTTATTTATGTCAAGTTCAGATAATTTCAGGGATAGTTCACTAGAATTCCCACTTGTTGAAGACACAAGTATATCATGAAGAGCATTTCTTCTTCCAGTTCTTCCTGAAGCAATGAAATCTGCATATGTAGATTCCACATCAGTCATTGCTAACAAGTATCCTCATAGCAATATCTTAAACAAAACATAGAGAAACACAGTCTCTTTACTACAAAGGGTAAACATTTGCAAATGTTTTAATAGTAGTAGTAGTAGTACTAGTAATAGAGTTGGAAGGGACCTTGGAGGTCTTCTAGTCTAATCCCCTCCTTAGGCAAGAAACCCTATACAATTTTTATGTCAACCCTAGTCCTTCTCTTCATTAAACTAGACGAGGGGTCTTCAAACTTGGCCCTTTTATGACATGTGGACTTCAACTCCCAGAATTCCTCAGCCAGACCCCTGAACTAGACATACCCAATTCCAGCAACCGTTCTTTATATGTTTTAGCCTCAAGTTCCCTAGTCATCTTTGTTGCTCTTCTCTGTACTCTTTATAGAGTCTCAACATCTTTTTTACACCATGGTGACCAAAACTGGATACAGTATTCCAAGTGTGGCCTTACCAAGGCGTTATAAAGTGGTATTAACATTTCACATGATCTTGATTCTAAACCTCTGTTAATGCAGCCTAGCATTGTGTTGGCTTTTTTAGCAGCTTCTGTTGGCTTTTTTGGCAATATACTTGATTTACAGTGAAATTTCATATGAGATGAAGGGTTTGGAGGAGTTATCCAACAGGATACTGGACATAAAATCCCTAAGCAGGAACAGAACAGAAACAATAATTCTTATTGTACCATATACAATTATACTCAATGCTCCTAGTGACTATTCTATATACCTGTCTCAAAAATAAGGGCTGAGACTATCATAAAATAAGGGTCAAATGAAACAATATAAACAAATAGTACCAAAGCACACCAAAATAAGAGGAAGCTATGTAGCTTACAATTTCATTGCCCAATTGCTTTTAAAAAAAAGTCTTTACTATTTATGTTATTACTTTATTTTTTACAGTAAACTACCCAGAGTCACATAGTTGAAATGGTAAGAAAGATAAAGGAATCCCTGCTGATTTTAGTCCAGTAGTCATTGTCCACTATAGGGAGAGGTAATCTTCTCTGTTTCAAGGCCATTGAGCCAGTGCTGTCCAAACACATTTTTGTGGTAATGTGGCCATCGTGACATCATGAAGTGCTATTTCCTTCGCATTGAACTGGTAACTATTCATCTACTCACATTTGCATGCTTTTGAACTGCTAGATTGGCAGGAACTGGGGCAAAGACGGGGAGCTCACCCTGTTGCATGGTGCTGGGTCTTGAACGTGGGCTGCCCGCTTTTCAGCTGACAAGCCCAGTGTCTTAACTGCTGAGCTACTGCACCAGCTTAGAGTGGGGCAGAAATTTTATTAAATAAATAAATAAGGTTTTAGGACATGGAGGATTTTGGCAGATCTTTGTTGGGAAAGTTCCATATCAATGATGCTATAGCTGAGAAGACTTGCCAGCCTCTCTTCAGAGAGCTCACCAGAGGTGAACAGACATGGAAACTAAATCCCCTGTGCATACTACAGTGACAGCATGTAGTTGTCTATGTAGCATATCAGAGCAGTGTTCCTTGAATTGTGTTGTGTGGAAGGCCACAAACTGGTGCAAGTCTTGAAAGAATCATTTATTTCTTTAAATATACATGCCGCCTAACAACTGTGGGTGGTTCAAAAAGGAAAATAACAAATGAAAAAAACCACAATACAATATAGAATAACATACAAAAATGAAAAATAAAATATATAGAGGATGACACAAAACCAGGCAGGAATGAAAAATAAACCCACATAATGCAAATAAGAGTTTTCTGGGGTTTGGGTCTTTTCGATTTCATCAGTTAAAGAACTCTATTTACAAATAAAGACATGTTTACATATCTCTTCCCAGACATCACACTGAAAGAACAAGAAAAATAATATAGCAATGTTGGATAAAAAGACCAAAGTAATGTAAGCTTTTAAATGAAGGTCATTGAAGGTCCTATTCTTTTTCCTTCAACACATCTTCATAAAAATTATAAAAATTATAATTATTTATTGATATTTTATTATTTAATCAATATGTCTATTTCCGTCTTCTTTTTTATGAAACAATTTATTTTGTTTCCTTAAATATATATTCATGTATAAAATATATGTTATAATCAAAAAAGGAAGGAAAAGTTTAAGGTATCCATCTGCAGGGCACTTAAGAATTGGTACCTAGAACTATGAATTGGGTTAAAACTGAACAGCAGAGTCAAGCTAAGATATTTTTGTTAAAGTATGGTCCCCTCACTTCCACCAACATTTCTGCAATTGCTCATACAGGAGGTTATGTCAGTGGTGGTAGCAGCATCTAATAAGCACTTTTCTAGCAGGTTACAGCTATCCTTTCCTGAAGTGAAGAGGTGGATTTTGGGTTGAATGCAGATACTGGAAATGTTATTCTGTTCGGTGCCTTTTAATCAGCTTCTATAACCAACTGCTTTCAAATGGAAGAATACTCTTGAGGCAGACCTGCTCTCTTTACAAGTACTTGGATATTTTTAGCTTAACCTCTTTACTTGTGTGGTTCCCCCCGCTTCTTTTCCTTTGCTCAAGCACAGCCAAATCTAAAAAACGATAAGAGCCTTCATGCAGTCACTAGAACAGTTATTTGATAAACAGGAGGACAGGGATTAGGTACAACATTTTATGCAAGCTAAATATAGCCATATTGAATATCTCCAAGCAACTTATATATAAACGGCATGTGACACAGCCATCTGCTCAAACACACTACTTTAATCTAGTAAAGAACCTAAACTGGGGCTCATGAATTCATTAAAGCTTTCCACAAGAGAATTACCTCAAGAAATCTTCAAACTAACAAGAGGTTCTCTCATGCGTCCGTAATTCATATCTGACAGACCTTTTTCTAGGACAAGGATGAAATGTTCACAAACTGCAAACTGTGATTCCAATGTGAGCCAAAATTCATCATTATTAGAAGGATCTAAGCTTAGAAACTATAATTTTACCTTTACCAGATCACATTGTTTTATCCTTACCAGATAGTTTGAGGCTAGTTTTATTTGTTTACTGCATTTAAATTCCACTGAAATCCAGATCAACCTCAGGGGACACATGCCATTCTGGGACAAAAAGCACCAGCAAGAATGGCATGGGCTCTCTTTTTCCAGCACAATGCGGTTTCCAGGCCTAGAGCAGTTGGTATGAAGAGAATGATAGCCCAACTTCACAAGAACCATTTGTCTGCCAAAATAAATTGTACCACAACAAAATAAAAAAGAACAGAATGGGGATAGAACACTTTTGCAAACTATTCCTTAAATCTTACTCTTTTCTCATTAATCTAATTTTTTATTCACTTTTAGCAATCTTCATTTCTATCCTATGCAGGGTTTCATTTTGACGCTTTAAAAATCCTTATAGGACATGAATAGAATGCTGCTCTTTTCTCAGCTGGAAAATATTTAAAAGGAGATACATCTTGCAACACACTTTTTAATTTACCTTCCCTAAAACTTGGGGGCTTTTCCCAGAGTGAGAAACTGTGGTCTTCAACATATTTTGGTCATGACTGAAAGATGCTGAAAATTGTCAGGCGATCTGTAGCCTCCCAACACTCCATTTTTGCATCCTGAGAATATCTTGGGAGAGGGTGGGCCAAAATGTTTGAAGGAGGGATTTTGGGAGGGGGGAAGAGGTGAAGTAGGGATAGCTAAAGGAATCCACCTTGCCTCTTTAAAACATCATTACTATCTGCCCATTCAATGATGTTGTTATAAGCCACATAACGTACAGTACTTACAGGTAAAAAAATTGTTACCAAAAAGGTGCACCTGTAACCATAAGGATGTTGCATAAGTGTTGCAAGACCTAAGTTCAAGTACTCACCACATCATATAGCATCCTAAGTAATTTTGATCACTCCCCCTACAACTTAATCCTTATTCCTATCATAAAGAGCTAAGCCAGTGATGGCGAACCTTTTAGAGACCGAGTGCCCAAACTGCAACCCAAAACCCCACTTATTTATCGCCGGGTGCCAGGTGGGCATGGCCCAGTGGATGGGCGTGGCTGTGGTCATGGCAGATTGGGTGGGTGTGGCCAAGGTGGGCATGGTCACTTCAATATTGCTCATGGGGAGGGACGCCTGTGGGGGTGGGCAGGGTTGGGGGAGATCCAGAGGGTCTCTGGCAGGTGGTAGGCAGATCCAGAGGGTCTCTGGCAGGTGGTAGGCAGAAGGCTTGTCCTGTGGGCTGAGGCGAGGCAGGGCGGCTGCTGCCTGACACCATTGGCCCCTGCACACAGAGGCCAGCGAGCGCATGGGGGCCAATGGTGTCCATTAACAGCCACAGCCTGCCAGCCCCTCGACCGGTGCACTCTGGGGCTCTGCAGCCCACTGCCAGCAGTTCAGAGAAGCCGCCTCTGAGCTGGATGGCCGGCCGACAGCTGAGGAGGCGATGCAGTGGGTCGTGCCTGGGAAAAGGAGAGCATACGAGGCCAGGAGGGACGGGACGGGGGGAAACCAGCCATGCCGGGTTGCATCCAGCCACGTGGGACCTCGGTGAGTTAGTTGCCATCTCTGGGGCATGACGCACATGCCCACAGAGAGGGCTCTGACTGTCACCTCTGGCACGTGTGCCATAGGTTCACCACCACTGAGCTAAGCTCTTCAGAAGAAAAAAGAAAATACACATGCAATAGTTGGAAGCCAAATGATTGCATTTAAAATATTGGGAGAGGAAAGAAAGATGTGTGTAGCTACTTTATTTGATTTCACTTCTCTACTACATCAAATCTTGACCCAGAATAAATCAGTATATACACATTTGAACATTGGTTCGGTTTGGCTATTTTCCTGCTGCTCACAGGAAAGCTCTAAGAATGAGGAAAGATACCAATTGAGGAATAAATTAAAAAGAATTGAGCAATTGCCAAGAATTGAGTTTTGTGCAGCAATTCAAAACCCACACTGGTTTTGGGTAGGATCACTTTTATTTTTTATATTTTATTGTATTATTTTTATTGTGTTTTAGAATAGATTTTTCTTAAAACGCTGCAGCTAGAGGGCAATGTCATAATAAGATTGTTTCAT